CACATGGAACGATATTCCGCGCTTTTCTTTTGGCAAAATCTTGAAATAAAGGAGACGGTTGCAATGAAGCGTTTGCATACGAGCGATTTTTAGGAAAAACGGAGCTCGATGTAATACTGGAGGACCCAATTCTTCCCAAATTGTCTCGTATACCGCCTGGTATTATTTTATGTTTGGACCTACGTTAGAAAAAAACCACTGTGTGCGTTCGTATCATTTTTGTCTCGATTTAGATATCGTGGTCCTACCCGTTGCCTAGCAAAGGGCCAATACACTAGCGGCTTTTAATAGAAATCTTGATGGACCTCGAGGTTGTGCCTGATGACGTCGCGTCGAGTGGTGGTATTAGGTTATTGAAGATGATCTTAGTGGTAGTGATTTTCTCCGCAAAACTGGCACGCGTCTGGCATAGACGATCGTTTGCGTGTAGGTGATTAATGCGATTCGGTTTACATCCGTTGCGCTGTTGGTTTATAAATAAAATCTCTATGCATGTATATGTATGTGATTTGACTAGCCCACTAAATGCGATATGTTTTTGTCTAATATGAATCGTCTAACATACTGGTGAAGCTGTTTAAGTGCAGAGTCGGCTCTATCGTCTAGGGACTTAAGCGAAAGTTGCTTTCTAAAGTTAGTTGTCCTTCCTCGCTTCACTTCAACGGCACCAACACCTAGTTTAATCAATTTTTGACAAACTCGTACAGTCGATCCTCGTTACCGGTTTCATGTCTTTTACAAGTCATCGCTATTATTTTCATACTATTGAGGACAGATTGTATCCGAGATTTTAGCGTATCGGAAATCTTAGCGTAAATTTTAGCGTATCTTAAGCCGTCCTGGGCCAAATATAAGCCTTGATCCATTTATTAGTGATAAGAGCTTTTGCAATGTTAATCTACGACACCACCAGCGTTGCATGGTAATGATGCATTTTGCCACTCAATTACCTCGCTCGCTTACTCAAATTCAGTATGCATATCCGCGTTGTGAATTCTTCATTTTGTTTTTTAAGTAAAACAATTACATTTTTTACCACTGTAATTTATCGCTTTGAGTAAAATATAAGTTACTGTTATGAACCCTGAAAATGACTCACATTCGACAAGTACTCTATGGCTTTTCTCGTGATTCACAGTGTTTAAAGTAACTCGAAATAAACATTTTTTCCAACGTGTGTCATTAGTAAAGGTTATAATTTTATAAAATCAATCTAGTGGAACAGCGAGGCTCATAGTTAATTTTATAGCTAACTTAATTTTTTTTATTTTGCTTCAGCGCTTAAATTTTAGCGCTAATAGTGGCGGGCTGCTAAACTCAATCTAGAAAGATAGCTGGTTGACGAAACGTATATGATATCTTTTTTTCTAGCATGCCTGGTTTGATGCTCTGTACATATTTACTTACATATTGTTCAGGAACATTTTGGTACGCCTATCGAAATACGTTATTGTGTGCAGATTTATTTTTGTTGTCAAAGTTGTCACCCGTTATATATGCTTTCAAGCATGTTTTTTGCTTTAAGCTATTCCTTCCAAAGTAACGTCCGTTTCTCATCGGTACTGTTTCTCGTCGGTACCGTTTCTATCAAAAGCAGGTATTCTTCTCTGTGATTTCTCCGTCTTGTGTAGAGTAGAGAAAAATAAAAAAAAGAAAAAAAAAAAACTTTTGCGCAATTAGAACATCAAGGCTTTAAGAGCTTTTTCTTTCATCTTTTCCCTACTGAGCCGCTACGTGCCGTTTAGCTGGTATAAAATTTGAAGGCGTTGTGTATGCAGCTCTAGACTGTACTGTGTATTAAGTTTTTCCGTAGAATGCAATGAGTATTTCTGATTATGGAATAGCGATTATTGAAGACGATGTGACTGCCATTCTATGCAGCTACATCGTTTTGGGCAGCTTTCCATTTCTTATTATCGTCAGCTAGGAAAGGGTTATTCATGTGCGAGGTCTGGCAAATTAAACGCGTAGAAATCTTACAGAGCCTAGTTGCCCTCACGTGTTCGATTGCTGGCTGTACAGCATTATGTTCTGCTACCCACAAGAGCAATTGTTTTTTCTTAAATTGTTAAGGATTACTAATTGAGAAATTACAGGTTGCAGCTGTTGTGCTTGCTATGATTGCGACCAGTCGAATTAATGCAGAAGCAGCGACACTGAATGCGAAAATAAATTATACCATTGAAATGAGGTGTACATGTATTAATGCTTTCATACATCTACTGTTTAATGTTGATCTGTAAGTTTCTTTTTGACCTCGAAAGACCGTTGTCGTATTTAACGATAAATTATATTCGTTAATAATAATAGTCTGCAGCTTAGTTTGGTTCTACGTTTTGCGCAAAAACGCGAAAGCATACTACGATACGAGTGCTCATACTCAATCCAATCAGAAGCGTAGGTGGTTCAAATGTCTACGATAGATATATTTTATATTTTAGATAACTCGAATCCCAAGTATAATTTCTATATTTTATTTTAGGAGCATTTTAGCAGTTGTATCTACTTGCGAATTGAAACCGAGAACTTGAACTTGTTTGATGACGTTAGTATTCAATGTATACATGGAATAATTAACTATAGTGGATTGGTCACACCGAATTTAGTTTAACTAGCTCGTTAGGTTTTATATACATTCGAATGACCAGTTCTTATTGCTATATAGGAAAAGCACAAAGCTGGAACTACGTTTTTGTGAAATTCGTGATAATTTTGAGGATAAAACGTTATTACTGTTTCCCACTTTATGTATACCGAACAGAGAATGCCATTTCCTTATATATGGTGGAATTCCACATCGCGTGCTATGAGCAACACACGAAGATCTTGTTAACGTATTGACAGTAAAGACGAACGTGGTTTAGAGATGATGGCTAAAAGCTGAAGGCCAGGACCTTCTCATTGAGATCCATTGGGTGAAGTCAGTGGGGACTTCTTGTCATGGCGTAACGATTGCTCGCCCGCACAGTTACCGTTTACCTACCGTTACGACCACTATCTCCACCATCATCAGTGTGGGCGCACGAGGATCATCAACATTTTCTTCTTTGCGGCTTTGAGTCATAAAATTAACTCTCGGAACTTGCGCAGGAGCAGATTGAAGCAACTCGATGGTTATTGATTATAGCTTTGATTTGTGTGTGCCCTTAGGGACTGATAGATAAATAATCAACGCATCGAGAGTAGCACCACACATATATTAGCGAGTGTGCTGCCTCAAACTGATTTTATATTAAGAAGTGGATGTCAGATAGACCGTGGGGATCGCTTTAGCAGTTATCGAGGACTTGCCTTTTTCTTATTAGACGCTCTTGGCTCCGACTGTTTACTACGTTAAATGGAATAAAACACTGTAATTAAATTAGCACAGTGAAGCTCCTATGTAAGTTGATTAATAAACACCAATACATAACATACGGAAAGAGATCTGAAAGGGTACCCCCCTATGGGTATACACGCCCTTGGGCCTCGATCAACAGACCATCAAGGAATGCACTAGCGAACTTCTTAAATAAAGGAATCTCATGGAAATGGATCTACAAATTTTTTTAGCGCGATAAGGTCTAGTTCAGTCGTTTTTACTCGGGTGCATCGCGCTAAATTAGCTTAGTGCTTATGTGGTTAAGAACTTTACGAAGTACAAATTTGGTGTCAATGCTTATGATCGACGCCTAGCAGTAAGACACCCTGACTTTCTGCTATAGCGGAAGTCCCACTTAAACGGAGCTTATTCTCGCCTATCTGTTGCATTCAGCTTCGGAGCTTTCTTCAGTTTAACCCCCTGCCAACCTCCTTCGTAGCCTGTTCGAATCGTCAGGGTGGTTCTCCTGTTTCCCACGCTTTCTACGCCTTATCCATCTGGCCTTAATGGTGCCGGCTGGGCCTTATAGCCGTCGTTTTCAAGCCAAGCTCCGAGGCCCTCTTGGGCTAGTTCCGCTACCCGGCAACGGCTTATTCTGGTGACTAGGCGATTCGGCCCCACACACTCTTCGAAGACGGTCTTTAGAGGGCCAGTACTTTGCAGGCACATTCCTGCATGACTATGCAAGCGTCATGCAATTACGCCTGAAATAGTTGAAAAAAGTTGTGATGTTATAGAACACCCACAAGAATTAAGATGAATTACGAGATATATCTGATACCTGTAAATTCTCTAGAGGTCGCAGTAACTATATTTTTGATTGGAATCTTCAAATAGATTTTTCGTTCCTGGATATTATCACATAAAGAAATTATTTTTTAGAGAGATTTGTAACGTATTTACAGCAACAAAAAAACGTAGACTAGAAACTAGCCAGGATAATTCTATTCTCCGACCTAACACATTGTCCATAGTGCCCAGCTTTAGCAACCTTGTTCAAGTGATTTATACAAAACATTTCTATTAGGTATAAAGGCTTACACTCACATTGTAACCTGTGTTGAAGCTATCTATGGATTGGAGGCAAAATGCCATCATATTCTGACGAATCTAAATTGGCTTAATGGTTTGAGTGTTAGCTCTTTACTGGAAACTCAAATCTTAGCATGAGTAATACATTAATGTAAGTCGAGGATAATATCTGTGTCGAAATGTCTTGATCGGTAATTTTCAACTACAGTGTCCTACATCAAGGTGTCTTGTGTAGTTTTATTTGTTATGTATATTTTTGATTTTAGCTGGGCGAACTTGCAAAACAACCTGAAAAGAGTAGGGCATTAGATATATGCAGATAGACTGAGCGTCCAGCGTCGAGCTAATTTCCCTGCAAAGCCCAAATTATTTCCAACCTCGATTACTACTGTATATAAGTTAAAGCTTTGACTTAAAAGCTTTTAATAATTACACATCCTTTACTATTTTATCTCAAGTATATTGGTTCAATGTAAGTTTAGGAAATTTCATAAGTTTTAGTTAAGTTCCAATAAGAATGCGCCGATAGTTAAGCAGCTTTAGTATCGAGCGCAAAGATAAGCAGTAATTGAGAGTTAACTTTATTGTGCTTGTTTATAAATTACAGGTAGTCGACGTTATATCAGGTCATACACAAACGACTACACAGAAGTAAATTCACGAGTGATAATATGGCACGAACGGAAGACGAGTACGATTACCTCTTTAAGGGTAAGTGGATTAACAGCAGTAACTGAGTCGGATTCCAAAATCTTAACTGGTCCAAAATCTGTTTTTTGATATTTCTACGCGGTGGTTTTGTTTAGCGGACAAGGAATCTTGTTGTCTTCTGAATTTGCGACGTTAGTAGATGCTGATACATCGCTACAAAAACAAAATATCCATAAGCCTTACGGATATAACAAAAGAATGCAAAAATTATGATGTCTTCTCGTTTCATATCATAGCGCATAAGATGGCTTGCGTAGGGGGGCTGGTAGGACCGGATTGTGTTTCGTTTTAAGCCTTTCACAATGTGGACTTCGGTTTGATGGATTAGTCTGATCTGATATGACATGTATCGCTTATAAAAGTCGTCTGCTGTCCAGAATAAATAAATGCCTGAATTAACAGGTCGTAATTTGATTTAATTGGGAGTGTAAGGGGACAAGTTATACGACAGGTTTGCCAGCATTAGGGCTTGAAGGCCACGATGACCCAAGTTCTAACCCCACCTCAGGGCACATATATATCTGACACAACCTCTGGGTCTGTCGTTTAAACTATTAAAGTTAGCAATTGTTTAGAAAACCTATTTGCTACCTACGTTAATGTATAATGAATCCACGTTTATCAAAGGTGCCTTCAAACTTTTTTATAATGTACAAGTGGAACGAAGCTGTTAGGGTCTTTTTATCGATTTGGCCTAATCTCAAGGTAGCGTCGTGAAGCTACAGATCTGAATAGATGACATTTTCTTTTAAAATTAAAAATGCCCTCTGATTTTAGAGCTGATATCTTGCTCTTCCCGGTCCTGTTTCATTGTCCCTGATTTTCAGTACCCTTCAATGATATGACTTCGTTGACGCCAATGGCCGCACCGCTTACCGTTTTTAGGCTACTGACATTTTGATGTGGGACTTCCATATAAAGTGTTGTAGATGATATAATCCTTCAGTGTGTTTTGCTGTCGTTATTTTCTGTTCAATTTTGCAGTTGTCCTTATTGGTGATTCGGGCGTTGGCAAAAGTAACTTGCTATCGCGTTTCACACGTAATGAGTTCAATCTGGAATCGAAGTCGACCATTGGCGTCGAATTTGCAACGCGGTCAATTCAGGTAGAAGGAAAAACCGTCAAGGCACAGATTTGGGATACTGCAGGTCAAGAACGGTATCGGGCTATCACATCAGCTTACTATCGCGGAGCAGTTGGAGCACTACTTGTTTACGATATTGCGAAGCATACCACGTACGAAAATGTCGAACGATGGCTCAAAGAACTCCGCGACCATGCAGACCATCACATCGTTATCATGCTTGTTGGCAATAAGAATGACCTCAGGCACCTCAGGTGTGTACATTGCGTTTTATAATACATTGATTGGCCGGATACGATTTACTATGCTCATTTGAGTTACACTATGCCGTATCGGAATGTCTTACTGTTTTCCGTTTGTTGACAGCCAAGCAGAACGGTATGAAAATGAAGTCTTTGTAAAGAAACTCGTCAAAAGGCTTTTTCAATATGTCGGAGAAACCTTTTCAGACAGAAAAGAAACATATTAACTAGTCAAATCTGTATCGACGTTAGTTATTGCTTACGCGGCGGCAGGTTTTAACAGTGGTAATATTTTCTACCTTGCCAACTTATTTCGAAATGTTTGTTTTGGTTGCACGTAAAACAATAGGGCTGTACCGACGGACGAAGCGAAGGCATTCGCAGAGCGAAACAACCTTTCGTTTATTGAGACGTCTGCTCTCGACAGCACTAACGTAGAAACTGCCTTCCAGCAAATTCTAACTGGTACGTACTTGTCGAGTTAGTTTATACTTCTGATATATTACAATTCGCTGTCTGGTCCATAATAGTATTTATACATTTGAGAAGCTTCCGTATATATTACGGCTATGAATTTTCCAAATATAGTATTTTTTTCGCGGGGTCAATGAAATATTTGTTTTAAAAATTGAAGAATCATGTGTATAAGTACATTTTTTTCTAGAACAAAGGACACGCTTTTGTTTGGTTTTCGTTTTTCGGTGATACAAAGGATACGTCAGATTTATGAGCTTTTTATCCATAACGAAAAAATCCAATGATTGAGCACTTCTACAGCAGCTTAATCAAACTTCGCGCGATGTTTTATTGAGACTTCTGGTTGCTGAAGCTTTTCCAGAATTCTGCAAAGTAGATAGAAACCAGAGATGTAAATCAAAAGAATAGCAGCGTTATCGTGAAACCATAAAAAAGCCAGTACATTCATTGCCCTTTTAGGCAATGCAATAATCCTTTAGTATTTAAATATAGACTACTTCAGTTTGGATCCTTATTATCATAGCTTGGTACTTTACAGTTCTACAGGGCAGCAGCGATTCTTTGTGCCGACGATTCAGTCATCAATAGTCGAAGCGTCACAGAGAACATGTACAAACGTTTTAAACTAAACGTTTTTACCTGAAGTTGTTTAGAACTCGAGATATTGCGGGTGTCACTGCTTCTCACCATTTGTTTTCAATGGAAACGGCCTGAAGTACAATAGAGGCAGACACAATATATCACGTTCTTTGGGTAAAATGTTTTTCTCTATGTTGAATCTATGAGGATTTTTTTGTTTTGTCTCTTCTGTCTTTCTGGTGTACGGTGGGCGCTACAGATATCTACCACATCGTGTCCCGAAAGCAGATGGCTAACGACAGCGACACGGACGCAGCGTCGCAGTTGAAAAGCGAAAATGACAAGATCACCATCCCGTCGAATGGCGACCGCCGTGAACCGGGCACTTCAAACAGCAGGAAATGTTGTAACCAGTAGTGGTAGTTGGGGTAACGTAAGGAACACAATGAAAATGCATTGCCTGCTCTTCTAGCTGGTTGTAGCCCTATTCATGGGTGGAAATAATAATAAAATATAATAATATGTTTAAGTATAGACAGACAAACAGGCAGACGGACAGCTAGGCAGAGGCGAAGGCGAGCGAGCTGGCGAGACGAAAGCGTCCGCGAAGGGGAATAGAGACAAACGATAGAGAAGCGATACACATCGAACACCGACAACCGTATTTACTCAGCACATAGAAACAACAGCCAACGGTATGAATAACAACAACAGTAATATCGGCGATAAATATAATAACAACAGCACGCAGAAACGAACTACTGGAACAAAACTACAATTCTATTGCAACCTTTGCTACCATCAATAAGGAATAGTACGACAAGTAGCAACAGTACACACAGCAGCGGAAGCAGGTGGAAAGCAACAACTTATGGTCGGTGATTTCTATAGCGTTTGTTCTCTTGAAGGTCGCTCGCGGAACAGCTTGATGGCAGAAAAAGCAGCGGACGATGACTTTAGACTTCATTTGAATCTGAGGTATTAAGGAAATATCAAATAGCAGGAGCCGTATTTGATTGTAGACGTATTTAAAGACGGACGGAGAGAGCAATGCTTCGTTCACTGCTACTGATGCTACAAGATAGCTTTTAGGATGCAGTGGTAAAGCTACAGTAAAGCGGCGTGCGGGCACTGAAAAAAACGGAAGGTTAAATAAATTGCGCAACAGAAAACTGGGACACAAGGGGCGAAACGATCCATATGTGGTGATATTGTCCGCGCTCAAATATATCCATATTTGAGCAGAATGTCACTGGTGGGGATATAAGGGGTATGAGATAACACAAACGAAGTAAAATACGCCAAGAAAAAGAAGATGGTCAAGTGTGATGAGCAAAAACATCACCATAATAATGCTGGCGATAAAGAAAAAGGTAGTATAATTCTTTTTCTACAACCATCATTCGCCGCTGAGTTTAATTTATATTGCAAATAAACAGCCGGAACGCGGTCGACGACCGCATGTTTTCAAAGTTTTATATGTACGACGATCCATCAAGATACGACAACAGCAAAACTAATAATAACAATAATAATATGGAAGTTAATAGAATGAATGGAAGGAAGGGATGGAAAACCAACAGACTGCAAAATCTGTCTCTGTTAATAAGGCATTGACAAACAGATAGACTTCACTCATCCGACCAGCTTAGTAGCGTTGGCAGCTCCCTAGGCATGCCATGAATACGTCGGCTGTAAATATCGACCGCGGCCTCAACTCCCCGAAGAATGCCATCTCGGTCACGCCCTCTTTGACTGGAACAGTGAAGGAAAAAAGAAACAATGGTAGGAACAAGCGCTCAGCTTTAGCTACAATAAAGTGTATAAGGCTAGCTTCTTGGGTAAAAAGTTTACAAGAAAAAGTTAAGCACTTTTCAAGGCGAATTCTACTTACTAATAAACAAATGAATGTATTAAATATTACCGTACCCATAATCATCGCCCACTACAAAAGATGCAAAGGGAAATTAAAGGAGACGAACCGATGAGAAGCTGCTAAAAGGATCAGTGTGAAGACCACAACAGAAGGACTTAAGTTGATTTAGGGCGATGTTCGAGGAAGAGAGTCGAAGCCGGTTTGCGCCCTCTGGCGGCTGCTCATTCATGCAACGTACCTTAGCCTATACAAAAACAACCGCGTTAGGGCGCGCGGAGTTGGATGAGAAGGGCATGGCAAGGGGGAGGCAGACACTTGTTCAGTTAGGGAACATCTTTGGAGTTGTTCTTTAGATCTATTATAGAGTCTGAATGGCCAGTACGTGCATCGCGATGTTATCAGTTTGGCATACTGACGAAACCAGCTATCATCATATGATTTAGCGGAGTTAAGGGCTGTTTTCGAATCTGTATTTGATTACCATCTATTCATCAATTTCTGCTCTTATGGAACAGTAGTCACGTATTATGCGGGCGTACGTATTGTTGTTGTCAACGTTTTCATTATTATTAATGATGCATCCAAGTATATCTCTCTCTAGATATACTGCTACATCTTGTTTATCGTTAGTTTCCGCCATGTTTTCATTACGAGCCGCCATTGGATCCCACTCACATGCATATATTATAGAAAGTGATCCTCCTATTATAATCACCAAGGGATAATTATTAGGAAACTATTTTTTATTACTGTCACTTTGATGATAGCTATTTCTTTTCGAACAACAATATTATAGCTCTGTTGTTCCTTGTTTAATGTAAGACTGATTAGTTATTTTATTCGTGTAATCACTAAAAACAGAAACAAACACAGCCCTATCGTTATGTTTAGTGTATCGTTATGATGGACTTTTCCTTGCGCCCATTTATTTTTTTGAAAATATTATTGCTTGTTTTCGTAACTGCGGCCAAACCGTTGGGCTTTCTAGCGGATGAGCGGTAGGGTGGTCATGACGTACGCACTTTCGTTTTGGTCTCTACCATCATTGTCAATTCGCAGCCCACAGCACCTCTCTGATATTTCGTGCTATTATGTACGCCAGTTTTTCTATTTTTTTCATGAAGCAATATCTCTTCGAATCTGTTCCGATTAGGATGTGGCATTGTCATCACTCGGTTATTTTTTCTTCGCAACAATGAGATAGATTCCACAGGTGTTGATATCATGTGGTTCGCTGCTCTATGCTCCGATTTATCACGTATATTATATAAAAACGTGACAGTGGTGCCACGAAGACGGAAAAATAGCAAGAGACAACATATATGAGTAAACCTATAGAGAAGATTTTAAGAGTTTATAAGATAATAATAAGAAAAAAGTGATAATTTTCATTCTATTTTATGATGATTATAGTGAAGCTGAAGCTGACAATAATAATAATAATAATAAAGACGACAAGAATAATATTATTATTAATAACAATAATAAGCATGTAAGGAGATGAACGAGATGATGAAAAGGGAATGGAGATGATGATGATTACCATAAATCGTGAAGATGTACGAGCGATGAGAGGAACGATTTGGTGGGTAGTGAGTGTTTCAGCAAACAATGTTTTATGGCGGCAGTTGCCTCCGGGTGATGGTTTATGCCGCAGATAGTGTATACGTGAAGAACCGAAGGAGAAAAAAGAATCTAACAAGACAGTGATGGATAAGAATAAAGTTGCCCTGATGTTACTAGCAAAAAAATTATATCGAGTATTCATTGTTGTGGTAACTTCCAATGACAACACTTACCGTTCATAAGATCATGGCCGAGTTCGTTGCTGAGTATACGATTCAGCATTTTACCCTTTTTATTTTACAGGACACGACGAGAAATCAACATAAGGGATTTTTTGTAGAATCCGTGATAAGGGTTTATTAGATGGGCGAAAAAATTCTAAGTGTAAATTATGCGACTGATGAACAGATTGCGAAAATCTGTAGTTCGCAATGGATACATGAATTCCAGCAATACACAATTGATAGCCATATAGCTCACGGAGGAATTTTATTCTGCTTGACACTCTCTCTGCCGGTCAATATATTTTTAAAAACTATCGCCGCGTTACTTGCTTTGGGCTTATGTGGAGTCTACTTGAATAAACAAGGAACGATCCAGGAGCACATAGACAATTCTCGTGCAACGGTCGCGACAGGGCTCAACTTGTCACTGAAAATGTTGGTACTCGGTTGTTGTTATGTCAGCGGCTTGACAAGTCATTCGATTGCCATTGTATTCCCCACATAAGCTGGAAACACTCAGCATGTAGCAAAACCAACCCAGTCCGTTCGCCTATTGTGTGGACAAACCGTAAAGGACTTTGGCACACCCTGTCTCTGTCATATTCACTCTCATCTACGATGTTTGTTTTGTGTCAATTAAAACATTTAATAATACCTATACGCCTAAAGTTAGTCGCGTAGTATTACAATGTGGCACAACTCCAAAGGGGTATACTCGATTTGTCTACCGAAAATATTAATAACTTTGTTTGTTTACCTCCTGTATAATAATGAGCAGCTGAAATGGCATTAAGCAATCGCTATTTCAATTTCTCGCCCTCGTAATATTGAACTGAATCCCGATTCTATAAATTCTCAAATTCAACATTCAAATACTTACAACTTCCCTTTTTGGATACCAATTGAATAATTAGCGAAGAAGACGCTAACGGGCAATCCAAAAGAAGTCAAGAGTAACCAAAGATCCTATGAATTGCGTGATGGCATTGGCCCCATTCCGTGATCATTTCACAATCCAACTTTCAATCATCAAAAGGTGAATGTTGTTGAATATCTTGGACGTAATAACGTCTGTATTTACCAAGCTGTGGTACGTCTGTAGGTCAATTATAACTACAATGAAAATAACCAAAGCTTATCATAATAAGCTTACCATTTCTCGATGCGTACGCATACAACATTCTCTGGATGTTGCATAAATGCTTTACGTACGTTCATTGCTAGGAAGCATTGCGTAAATTATTTATCACCCTTGAATAATACGCGTACGCTACATGGGTGATACGCTTTATACGAAAGAGATGCGTGGCAAGTTTTCGAATTTATGCTCGAACGACATATAAACCAAGTGAAAATTACATACGGGCTCCAAAAATAGATTTTTTTGGGAGAAAAGCTTGGCCTGACGATAAAAATTCACATTGAAAACCTTATTTGAAAGGTACGCTTTGTTAATTATATAGGACAACGCACTAGACTTCCCCTCCTTAGTGTGTCTCATTCACTGATTGAATTCATAGCTTGATGTAATAGCCTTTGGCCATTAAAATTTATCAAGATTGTTTGAATTCCCAACTAACACACTTGCCTCTTTAAGGCCATTCAAGGCAAATGAGATTTTACTTCTAGGAATAATTAAATCTTACGTACTGTTATGTCTAGGGTTTCTACTGCGTCCGAGGTTGACTGACGTATTAATCATATAACCAGCCGGAAGCTCTCTAAGCAGCCGTTTGCAGATGGTGTTTAGCCCAGTTCTTAAACAGGCCATAAAAGTCAAAAACCCGCAAGAAAAACATGTAACTACCGTTGCTGCCTTATACGTGATTTGATTACAACTTTTCCCGTCTTTGTTTGCTCGGCTTAGCCGGAACGTATCATCTGTAGACGAGACTGCCCAATAGTGAAAAAAAACCATCGCCCACAAAGCTTCAAAATAAAGTGAATATATAAAATGGAGGGAAGAGAACGCAACAAAAATGCTTAGGATATATCTGCTAACATCGTAACGCTGTCTTCTTATGCTTACATTGTTTTATTACAGGGATTAAACCAAAATATTTTGTACGAACTGTCGCGCGTCTTGAGGTCAGAAAGTATTATTAACTGGATCCTAAACTGAAACAAGTCATAGCTCGCAGCATAATGACAATAACTTTGGCGACATGGACTGACGGAATTTATGTTGGGTACTTGCGAAAATAGTCGCCCTGCCTGCCAGTACCTTAAAATCGGAGTTTTCGGCACGGAAGGCGAACATTTTTTTGCCTAAAGCTCGTGAGAATCACGGGTCGATAATTACCAAAGCTAGCTTGATTCTTTTCATCACTACAGAGAGGCATTATCCGAGACATTCTGGAGTTGTCTGAAAAAGCTCCTTGACAAACCCAACTATTAAATATTGTATATATGCGAAAGGTGTAGCTATTACGAACATCATAGGCTATCTTATCTTAGATAGGACGTCATTTTAACGTACATGACTTACATCATTTACGCTGCAAAGCTAGAGGTTTAAAGGGTGGTGCACGAATGCATGTTTTTACCAGTATTTCCATATTGGTAAATTAGAACCTGGCCTATAGGCTACTTTGACTTAACCTTTAAGCACTAAACTTGATATATCATTTTGAAAAAGCCGCTAAGTGACAGTTTCGACGCATCAACTTTTCAATTTTTTGACTCTAAAATGCTGAGACTCTGTTTAAACCATGCTAGGTTTCGATGAGAAGTATTTGTTACAATATCTCTGCATATTTTCCAATTCGACATGTTTTCATTCATTCATTCATTCCGTTATAGAAGTGCTGATAATAGTTGCCCCTATTATTTGCTTATTATACGTTACTCATTGCCCAATAGTTGCACTTAACTAACCTGTTTTACGCAGAAATCAAATAAGATTTGGTAAGTTGTTTGTAGACCTTTCCGACGACCTATTTTATCAAGCATCGTATGCTAAGATTCAGACATAAATACCCAGGTAAATTTTGAACCGCTGTTTTTATTAAAATTCGTTTTCTTAAGGAAGTCCCGTTGATTGTTTCCGGATAGCGGGTGGACATTCGGACGTTTTCCATCAAAAAGCATGGAACGTCTAAAATAGTTTGATAAGTGCATAATCACATTCGACTTAGATATCAACCCAATTTGGATTAAGCGATAAAATCGATCATACCATCAACAAAGAGTACATTTGAGGTAAGCATGCAACGTCTTGATGTTTTTAACATCAAACACACACAGCCATAGTATCTTATTTGGCTCATTTTTATTGGCGCCTAATGTTTTATTTGCTCTAATATTATATCTAATATTTGCTCACGTTTTGCTAAAATGTGCTGAGGAGGTACACAATGTCCAGATGTTTAGTATACCTAGGAACCATGTTTTCAAGCATTTTTAGCCTGATGAATCTGATAGCTTTCCCTCATTGAAATTTAACTCTGCTCCCAAACATGGTGCGAATCCTTAGCGATTTTACCTATTTCCTCCCCAATAATAAATATTTATGACATTACTATTCTTACTCACTTCTCCCTTGTTCATCTTTTTAAATCACTCCATACCCACATCAATAAATTTTGTTAACTAGCATTTGTATAATCCTTAGATTATTTAAATATAAACAGCATACACTCAACGGCAGTCATGTGAAAATTCCTCTGAATTCACAAGCAATTTGATTTCTGTATTCTAAGAGTCATTATTTTCCCTAGTACCATATTAACTATCCTGTATAGCTTAGGACTAGTATTTTATATTTCAAAAACAGAAAATAAATTCAGCGCAAAAAACTTCTATGAAGTTAAAATCCTAATTTTTCCCTTTCTTTTTGAGTAAATTAGTTGTTTTCTTAGCTTGTTTTCTAAGCTAAATATTTATTTTAAATACACAACTCAATTGTTTAAAATTAAATATTAATTAATTATATAATATAATTAATATAATATTAATTAATTATATAATTAATTATAATTAAAATATTAATATAAATATTTCATTTATATCCTTATTATATTACTTATTTTGATTAAATAAATTCAATGCTAGAAAGGAATTATTTTTACTTCTACAATTTCTTAAGAAAAATATAATTTTTCTCATAAATAATAAACATATATATATATATATATTCTAAATTTTTCAGTAAGAATATAGAATAATATAAGAATTTAATTTACTGACAAATCTATTCCAATTTTACTTAATTAAAAATCGAATAAACGTTTCATTTTTTTATTTTTATCTTCTCTTTATTATATTTGTATAGCTTATACAAAAAGCCTTGGAAAAAAGTGTAATATTCTTAAATTATCAGTAACTTAACAATAGATATGTAATATAATTTATTATCTTCATGATAAAAATAAAACATTAAATTAAATAAATCATCATATATAAGTTAACAGCTTACAATTCGCAATCTTGAATAAGAATGCGAAATTGAGTACTTTATTTAGTAATGAGTAATAATTAAATAAAGGATTTTTTCATCCTTACGAAATTAAATGCAAAATCTCTAAACCTTAAATTATCTTGTAAGACATTTTTGCGCAAATATCATAATTCTGTTTTTCTTTTTATTCAATATATTTAAGTTCATTACGTTTAAGCTCTTCCATTTTTTTTTTTAGATTTAACCTTCGCCTGTCTTTGGAACGTACGATTGTGTCCATTGTATACATAACGTCATGATCGATTATTTCGGAAGATATGTTCAAGTAAAACCTATATTGGATAACGATCTGTCTAGTCATGTGGATACTAACGTACCTCACTATTTTACTAACACACGTGAGGCCACACTTCATAAATTTGGTTCTTAATCATTCTTTTTTCGTTCTTTGTCCTTTTCAATTCATTATTTCAATTTGTTGATTAATGCCTGTGCTTAGAATTTATATCGGGAGCAGCGCTTTCGTCTGCTACAGCGTGGGCGTGACAATCGAACG